CCGACAGAAGTGTGATCCCTGAGCGCAGGTTTACTGTACTGACAGATGAGGTTTACTGTACTGACAGAAGGGTGATCCCTGTGCGCAGGTTTACTGTACTGACAGAAATGTGATCCCTGAGGGCAGGTTTTCTGTACTGACAGAAGTGTTGAACTCTGAGGGCTAGTTTACTGTACTGACAGAAGTGAGATCCCTGAGGGCAGGTTTACTGCACTGACAGAAGTGTGATCCCTGGGGGCAGGTTTACTGTACTGGCAGACGAGTTGATCTTTGAGGGCCAGTTTACTGTACTGACAGAAGTGTTGAACTCTGAGGGCTAGTTTACTGTACTGACAGACGAGCTGATCTTTGAGGGCAAGTTTACTGTACTGACAGACGTGTGATAACTGAGGGCAGGTTTCCTGTACCGACAGAAGTGTGATCGCTGAGGGCAGGTTTACTGTACCGACAGTAGTGTGATCCCTGAGGGCAGGTTTGCTGTACTGACAGAAGTGTGATCCCTGAGGGCAGGTTTACTGTACTGACAGACGAGTTGATCTTTGAGGGCAAGTTTACTGTACTGACAGAAGTGTGATCCCTGAGGGCAGGTTTACTGTACTGACAGAAGGGTTGATCTATGAGGGCAGGTTTACTGTACTGACAGAAGTGTGATCCCTGAGGACAGGTTTACTGTACTGACAGAAGTGTGATCCCTGAGGGCAGGTTTACTGTACTGACAGAAGTGTTGATCTCTGAGGGCTAGTTTACTGTACTGACAGAAGTGTGATCCCTGAGGGCAGGTTTACTGTCCTGACGGAAGTGTGATCCCTGAGGGCGGGTTTACTGTACTGACAAAAGAGTTGATCTCTGAGGCCAGGTTTACTGTATGGAAAGCAGGGTGATCCCTGAGGGCAGGTGTACTGTACTGACAGAAGGGTGATCCCTGAGGGCAGGGTCACTGTACTGACAGAAGCGTTGATCTTTGAGGGCAGGTTTACTGCACTGACAGATGTGTGATCCCTGAGGGCGGGTTTACTGTACTGACATAAGTGTGATCCCTGAGGGCAGGTTTACTGTACTGACAGAAGTGTGATCCCTGAGGGCAGGTTCACTGTACTGACAGAAGTGTTGATCTTTGAGGGCAGGTTTACTGTACTGACAGAAGTGTGATCCCTGATTCAGGGCAGGTTTACTGTATTGACAGACGAGTTGATTTCTGAGGGCAGGTTTACTGGACTGACAGAAGTGTTGATCCCTGAGGGCAGGTGTACTGTACTGACAGAAGGGTGGTCCCTGATTGAGGGCAGGTTTACTGGACTGACAAAATTGGATCCCTGAGGGCAGGTTAACTGGACTGACAGAAGTGGTGATCCCTGAGGGCAGGTTTGCTGTACTGACAAAAGAGTTGATCTCTGAGGGCTAGTTTACTGTACTGACAGACGAGTTGATCTCGGAGGGCATGTTTACTGTACTGACAGAAGTGTGATCCCTGATTGAGGGCAGGTTTTCTGTACTGACAGATGAAGTTTACTGTACTGACAAAATTGGATCCCTGAGGGCAGGATTACTGTACTGACAAAAGAGTTGATCTCTGAGGCCAGGTTTACTGTATGGACAGAAGTGTGATCCCCGAGGGCAGGTTTACTGGACTGACAAAATTGGATCCCTGAGGGCAGGATTACTGTACTGACAAAGCAGTTTTTCTATGAGGGCAGGTTTAGTGTACTGACAGAAGTGTTGATCCCTGAGGGCAGGTTTACTGTACTGACAGAAGTGTTGATCTTTGAGGGCAGGTTTACTGTACTGACAGAAGTGTATTCCCTGAGGGCAGGTTTACTGTACTGACAGAAGTGTGATCCCTGATCGAGGGCAGGTTTACTGCACTGACAGATGAGGTTTACTGTACTGACAGAAGTGTATTCCCTGAGGGCAGGTTTACTGTACTGGCAGAAGTGTGATCCCTGAGGGCAGGTTTACTGTACTGCCAGAAGTGTATTCCCTGAGGGCAGGTTTACTGTACTGGCAGAAGTGTGATCCCTGAGGGCAGGTTTACTGTATTGACAGACGAGTTGATTTCTGAGGGCAGGTTACTGTACTGACAAAAGAGTTGATCTCTGAGGGCTAGTTTACTGTACTGACAGACGAGTTGATCTCTGAGGGCAGGTTTACTGTACTGACAGAAGTGTGATCCCTGATCGAGGGCAGGTTTACTGTACTGACAGATGAGGTTTACTGTACTGACAGAATTGGATCCCTGAGGGCAGGTTTACTGTACTGACAAAAGAGTTGATCTCTGAGGGCTAGTTTACTGTACTGACAGACGAGTTGATCTCTGAGGGCAGGTTTACTGTACTGACAGAAGTGTGATCCCTGAGGGCAGGTTTACTGTACTGACAGAAGAGTGATCCTTGAGGGCAGGTTTACTGTACTGACAGACAAGTTGATCTCTGAGGGCAAGTTTACTGTACTGACAGAAGAGATGTTCTCTAAAGGCAAGTGTATGTACTGGATATGAGGGCAGGTTCACTTGGGGCAGGTTTACTGTTCTGACAAAAGGGGTGGTCTCTCAGGGCAGGTGTACTTGATTCTCAAGAAAGATTAACACACGGTCAAAAAGCGAAATCTCTCAAAACAGGAAGAAAAAGTCACTGAGAATGTGAAACCTACATTTAGTTCCTTGTGCATGTGTTTACGCCTAGAGAAATACAACAACAGAGATATGCGTCTGGCTCTGTCCTATCTGTTTGTTGATTACTGAGACAGTGTGTAGCTAGGTGTGTAGGAAACACATGTGTGTATACGTACATGACAGAGAAACACCGTCTGTATGAACATCTCGAGTATCAGAAATAATGTGTATCTTGCTATTCATGCTTTTGTCATAGATAAACTGGAAGATGTTGATGTTTCTTGTTTGGTATATATGGCTTTGGATGGATAGTGGTTTTGGATGGATAGTGGTTTTGAACTGTTTTCTGATTTGATCAAAATGGATGCAGTAGGTGAAATTGATATTTCTTTTCTGTAAATTTTTGCTTTTGACACTGTTTTTGCAGAGGAGTTTATTGTGTTGTTCTCAGGGCTGGAAATGTCATTCAATTTGAATTGAATCGCTCATAGTTCAGTGAACTTATAGGACTGTACATGTAAACCAATCCGCTGAGAAAATCCAATTGGCATTTATCTGAAAGTCTGACGTTTGCTGTACAGTGTGTAGAAAATGTGTTTGTCGACGTGAATATGTATAGTGTAGCCACAATAATCCAGCCACCTTTTTACCAAAACCAATGTGACTAGATGGTAAAACACTGTTTGATTATCGGCACAATTTAGTGTAGAAAACGACAAATTCTCTTTCCTAAACCACTGGAACAGTTTAGTGTGTAAAATGAACAATTCTGTCTCCTAAAACTGTTCAATTACAGGAACAATTTGGTGCAAAAAATGGCCAATTCTGTCCCCTTAAACAAAGTTGGATTAATATAATGAACTAATTGAGAACATAGAAAATGACCAATTCTGTCCCCTTAAACAAAGTTGGATTAATATAATGAACTAATTGAGTACATAGAAAATGACCAATTCTGTCCCTTAAAACAGTTGGATTAATAAAAAAAATGAGTACATAGAAAATGGAGAATTCTGTCCCCTAAAACAGTTGGATTACTGAAAAAAATGAGAACATAGAAAATGGACAATTCTGTCCCCTAAAACAGTTTGATTACTGAAAAAAATGAGTACATAGAAAATGGACAATTCTGTCCCCTAAAACAGTTGGATTACTGAACAAAATCCCTAAAACATGTGCCTGATTCTGCACAACCAGATAGTGGCGTCTGGATTAACAGGGAATGATTATAAAGACCTGTTTGTTAATCACATTATGTAAACTGAAATGGAAGCTTATTTTGAGAAAATGGCTACCTAAGGCATGATGTTTAACACATTCACCCCTGAAATTTCATAATGAACTATTCCAACCTTAGAATTGGAAGAGTTCAAATGTGTCTTCAGGGGTGAATGAGTTAATAGCACATTAGGTTATTCTCATATCACACAGTGAAAATTTGTCGAGTATAATACTTTTAAATATATGTTATTATGCTTAAGAATGTACGTATCTCAATTCAAATTTGAGTTATATACAAAACCTGTAATTATAGAAATAATCTGTGGGCTTGGTATTAATATTGATTAATGACAAGATTGAAAGGAGTACAAACATTTATAGCACATTTGAAAGTACACAAATATTGATGACACTTTTGAGAAGTAGTTTACACAAAAATTGATGACATATTTAAATTTGGGAGGTACACAAAAACTGATGATACATTTGAGAGGTACACAAGAATGCATCTTGCTCCAAATAATTATCTAGACAGCCTCCTCCTGGAAAAATGTGACTGGGGGAAACTTGTGCGTGAGAGAGAAGCATGACAGTTTTAAAGTGATATGGTATGTGATCAATATATACCATCCAATCAAACAGGCTGTTATATAGATGAAGTATATATAACATCCAATCACACAGGCTGTTATATAGACAAAGTATTAATATCGAACTGATAATAATGCATAAGCCGAGTGCATGATGAACATTATAATCTGTCTTAATAATGAGCATGACTGAACAATTTTTCATCATCAACAATTACATCCTGACAAAGAACATGGATTTACTCTCCCAGTTATAACATGGATGCACCGTCTGTGTTCTGGAAAATCAAGATGGCTGCCGTTAATGTAGGCTCAGGTCTGAATCAAGTGGTGCCTTCAAATGGTACATACAGGCCATGTATACCTCTTGATAAAACCTTTTTACCTGAAGCACATTTTAAAAGCTAATATTCCTAACATTAAAATGCAAGAATTATTGGGGGGAAAAAAAGCATTTTCTGGTATAAGTGTTTGTTAACTTTGGTAAATGCTGTAAACTTTGGTAAATGCTGTTATATGTTGCTGAAAAATGTATTGAATAGGTTTTGATGTCTGAAATGTTGAACTTTTGTATTTTTCAGACATCTGTGACATTCCGGAAAACATCCGATTCTGTAAGAATCTCCAGGTCCTCGACATCAGCAGTAATCCACTTTCAAGGTAAGCACCAGTTGAGGTCAAAATGGCATGGGGGAAAAAAACAGGGTCCAAGTACATAACTCAAGTTCCAGTTAAAAATTAACAAATACTCTCAGATACTGAAGCAGCATACCATGACGATAAGTGGTAAACTGGGTTGTTGGACAACCAGATTGATGGTGACCAGATTGACATTATTTGATTGTAATTAATAGTCTTACAACTGCTAAATATCATTTCTGATAAAGTATTGTTCTATACGATTTAAGCGACAATGATATAAATACAAATGTTTTGATTATGCAGGCTACCCAACGGATTTACACAGCTTCGTAACTTGACGCATTTGGGACTGAACGACGTCTCACTTGAACGACTCCCTCATGACTTTGGCAGGTAAGGAAATACCGTATAATTTAATTATTAAATTGCATTGTTACCAGGAATTTTTCTCCCTTGCAAAGAAAACAATGTGTCATAAGACATTACAGTAATTATCATAGATTTCATTTCAAATATATTTTATTGATTAAAACAAAAGGATTGAGCAGCAGGCTTTGCCTATATAAGCTCTCTCCATAATTATAATAGATAAACTGTTGTTATAGACTCTCGTGACCTCTTTGCCTGTTTGTTAAAAAATCAGAGTTTGTTACGGAATCGTTCACAAAGTTTTGAAAAATCTCCAAATTTTTAAGTTTTAAATAAGTTATTGTCGTCTATCTGTAACTGATCATTGTGGATGTCAATAATACTTTTAAGTTTTGAATTTCAGTATCTTTTAACGTTCAGCGTAAAGCATTTCCTTGTCATTAATCTGATCTAGATTATAAACAACTGAGCCCAGGTTCAAACTTTATCAAGATTCTTTAGTTAAGTGAAACATACTATAAGTCTTATTTTCAAATTAGATTTTTGCTATCGGATTGAAAAATATATGAAGATTTTTCTGTTTTTCTCTGTGTTCAGAGAATAAATGTTCCAATCCCTGGGGTTATTGATCTCATTATCTGTTAACCTTAATTAATTGTCGAGGACAGTCTGCGTGGTAATGAACAATTTCTCAGGTCTGCCTGGAGCTGTGACTGAGAACGGAGTGGATGTTAACGAGATAACTACAGTCTAGTCAGTCAGTGGTACTGGTAGGATATCTGGGGTTGCATTATACAGATTTAAAGACAGACTGTGTGATGTATAATCTATGATGATAAATCTCTAGCTAGATAGAATTTGTACCAGTGCGGGAAAAAATAGTATTAGTTGCGGAAAAAGATATATTTATTACAGTAACCCCTATATAAAGTAAATAAATAAGGCAATAAGTTTTGGTAGATTTTTTTTTTCATTTGTTAAAACTTTTAATATCTTCTTTGCCATGGAGCTGCATGAGTACAAAGTCAAGGTGACAGCTAGGGGTCAAAATGCAAAATCTGACTGTTATTTGATGAAAACAGTGAAAAGATTTCGAGTATCGTGATATAATGCTACATCAACAGCATACATGATCAGGCTTAAAGGGACATCACGTCAAAAGGCGTTGTTTTTTTTATTGAATATATGTATTGTATGCACTTCCACTTATGTTACCTCGCTATCCCCATATTCATAGTCCGTTCCAAATGTCCAGTTTGACCACTTGAATTGTTCGGGAAAGCCCTGCTAAAAATAGCGCCGATAACGTCACCTGACTAGGCAGTAAACACAAGTGGTGCGAGCGAGATGAAACGGTTTCCAAAGGGGCCCCCAGAGAGGGGCTGTCAGGCAACTGCAACTTCTTACCGCACTATGAAACCAAGTTATATAATTTCTAAGTCCGTATTCAAACTTAGTGAACAGTAATTATTCATCATTAGAAGTTAATTGCACACTTGCCAATGTTCAGAATTTAAATTATTTAGCTTTAAACATAAATTTGTTGCCAATAAAATTAAACATGGGATGGGGCACAAGTTTTTGCAATTTATCACAGCCTTCTCCCGTCATACATTTACAATTAAATGTCAACAATGATAATAGGCATAAACATAAAGTAGATATATTTAAATATATATTGAATTTAGTACCGGAATGTGGCCGTTACAGATGGTACGGGGCTAAACATCTTCCCTACACCAAGGGAAAAACCTTTCTGATTTTTTTTTTATATATTGCCGGGGCAGAGGAGGCTGGGTATTCATATTAGTACTAATTAAATCTTGCATGTTAAAACAAAAATAATCGTTTAATTCAGCAATATAATTAAATCATACCATTTTATTGAACCTGGTAATATTATAAATTATGTAAATCCACGTATTTAGATAACACGTATCTCGGTGACCCAGAAAATACGCCATGGGCCATCACAACAGTTATCCCTTGGAGGGCCTCATGGCAAAATCAAAATAACCAGTCACTTATCCCTTCCTTTCGCATAAACCACTGTATAATTATAGAAACACAAAGTAAACTCTCTCCAATACATGCCCATTAATATATTAAACTAAGTTCATCTGTGTTCAAACTCAGACAAAGATACTAGCGTGCTTAAAAGTTTTAGATATTTATTTATAACATAAACAGCGCTAGCATTTCTGTCGATTCCATTTCAGCTTAACCGGCTATCCGGAAGAATACATGCACCGTACTAACTGCTACGGCAGTTATTTTCACCTTTGAATACTGTCCACCTGCAATAATGATTCCGTAAGGTACTCCTTGCGCTATCTTTTGACCATTTGGCAACTTTGCGTTTCGTAGCTGACACAGTACAACACTTTTCTTTCGCTTACTTCACACGGCCAGTCATTTTGTTTACAAAGAAATGGTGTGCCATGCGCATGCGCTAGTAGAGGGCCAAATCCGATCGTTATTTTCCATAAGGAGTCTCACTAGATATGTTTATGTAGTATTTGAAAAAAAGACAAAAAATAAAGTTACTTCACCGTGATGCCCCTTTAAAAGCTGTTTGAGCACTGAAATAAATGTTCTCTTGGATACCATTTATGTTGGAAGAAAGTCCATTTTGAGCACACTCTCCAATGTATTTGTCCCTCTACTACACACTTGAGTTTTATTTGAAGAGAAATGAAGAGGTGTGAACATTTGTATCAACCTTATTGTTCTATTACAGTTTGACAGGACTTATCTCCCTTGAGTTGAGGGAAAATAACATCAAAACCCTACCCCAGTCCATCTCACTACTGTGTAAGCTGGAAATCCTCGACCTGGGCAGCAATGAAATCGAGGAACTGGTAAGTCTATTATTTAAATCTTGTAGTCAGGTGACCCATACCTCCATGTAAGAATCAGGCCACCCCTATATCTCAATATTTGGTTGCTGAGCTAAATCTTATTACAGCCAGCTGTCATATCTACTGTCTAGTCTCGAATTACTGTTAATCTTATATAGATCTAAAGTCACACTAGTTTTTGTTTCACAGATAATATAGCACTACTATCTAGTTAAGGGTAACTGTTGTTCTGAGCTAATTCACACTGGTTGTATTTTACAGCCAGCTATCACATGGTCTATTGTTTTGTGCAGAATGACTGTTAATCTTATATTAAGTCACACTAGTTTTTGTTTCACAGATAATATAGCACTACTATCTAGTTAAGGGTAACTGTTGTTCTGAGCTAAGTCACACTGGTTGAATTTTACAGCCAGCTGTCACATGGTCTATTGTTTTGTGCAGAATTACTTTTAATCTTATATTAAGTCACTCTAGTTTTATTTCATAGACAGATATAATAGCACTACTATCTAGTTAAGGGTAATTGTCAATCTGAGCTATAAGTGCCCCAGTTTTTGTGTTACAGCCAGCTATCACAGGGTCGCTGTCCAGTCTAGAATTACTTTTAATCTTATATTAAGTCACTCTGTTTTATTTCATAGACAGATATTATAGCACTACTATCTAGTTAAGGGTAATTGTCATTCTGAGCTATAAGTGCCCCTGTTTTTGTGTTACAGCCAGCTATCATAGGGTCGCTGTCCAGTCTACAGGAGTTATGGTTGGACTGTAACGAACTTGCAGAACTTCCACCGGTAAGACCACAGCCTCTTTTACTGTAGCATTGCTGTAATTAAGTTGTACTAGCCATGTCATTAATAATTAAGTAAATGATTTTGCTTTGCAATCAGTGTTCTCATTAGGTTTAGAAATAGGTTGTTGACATGAAAGGATTAGCCGGTTTGAATGTCCACACGCTATTATCTTGAATGATACGTATTCTGAAAATATCATCAGTTCAAAGTTGATGAAACGCAGGCTACTTTCTGGTAACTGGCTTTTAATGAGAACACTGAATTATAAGCTTTATCCAGAAACATTTTAGGATCTTCATTTCTCTCTGTCTCTGTCCATTTCTGTCTCTGTCTCTGTCTCTATCTCTGTCTATTTCTGTCTCTCTCTCTCTCTGTCTCACTTCACAATGTTATCTGCAGAAAATGCTATTACGACCACAGATTATGGATACATTTTAAAGAGTTTGCACGATTAAGCTGGTGACGTGTAGTATCATTGGACAATATCCTAAAGCTTAGTTTGTACGAGCGGAGGGAGACACGAACATTCTCTCCGAATATTGGAAAATCTCGAGTGGAGACCTGTTCAGCAGCAGCAGATATTTCATGTAACTTAATTTGGGAAATTTGTACCAAGGAAGACCCAGGAATGAAAATGGATTCACTGCAGTATTGGAGAATGTTAACCCAGAAAGATTTGGCTCTGTGTAGTGTTCTTGGGAGAAGCTACCAAACATTTGAGATTCCGGTGTAGGTCAAATGAGCTATCATTAAGCTGTGTAGTAGTGTGAAGTGGTTTATCTGGGTAGAACTCCCTAATCGTGTCACTGTTGGATTTGATGCTACACTTTTATGGGGAAGTGGAACAGGTCAAGGTCAAAGTTGCTTCAGGTCCCTGACACCAAGGTCAGTATTTGAGGCTCTAACGTCAGGGTTTCAGGTCCCTGGTACCAATGTCAAGGTGAGGGTTTCAGTTGCCAAATGTCAAGGTCAAGGTTTCAGGTCCCTGGTACAAATATCAAGGTCAGGGTTTCACTTGCCAAATGTCAAGGTCAAGGTGAGGGTTTCAAATCCCTGGTACAAATATCAAGGTCAGTGTTTCACTTGCCAAATGCCAAGGTCAAGGTCAGGGTTTCAGGTCCCTGGTACAAATATCAAGGTCAGTGTTTCAGTCGCCAAATGTCAAGGTCAAGGTCAGGGTTTCAGGTCCCTGGTACAAATCTCAAGGTCAGTGTTTCAGTTGCCAAATGTCAAGGTCAGGGTTTCAGGTCCCTGGTACCAATGTCAAGGTCAGTGTTTCAGTTACAGATATCAAGGTCAAGGTCAGGGTTTCAGGTCCCTGGTACCAACATCAAGGTCAGTGTTTCAGTTACAGATATCAAGGTCTGGGTTTCAGGTCTCTGGTACCAATGTCAAGGTCAAGGCTTCAGTTGGCGAATATTATAATCAAGGTCAGCGTTTAAGATCCATGGTACCTATATTAAAGTCAGAGTTTCAGTTCTGCAACAAAAAGGTCAAGGTCAGTATTTAAATTCCCTGGTACCAATGTCAAGGCCGGTTTTTCTGGTCCTGCCATCAATGTCAAGGTCTGTATGGTTCCTGACAAAAGGTCTGAGTTTCATTCTCTAACAAAAAGGAGAAGTTCAGTTTTTGAAGTCAAAGTCGATATTTGAGCTGTTTCGGGTCCTTATGATGTGTTTACCAGTGCTGTTTTTGACACCCAGCTATTGGGTGGTAGGCTGTATTGACTGGAGCTCTGTCACCAACACCCAGCTATTGGGTGGTAGGCTGTATTCACCGGAGCTCTGTCACCGTAACCCAGCTATTGGGTGGTAGTCTGTATTGACCGGAGCTCTTTCACCGTCACCCAGCTATTGGGGGGTAGGCTGTATTAACAGGAGCTCTTGTCACCGACACCCAGCTATGGGGTGGTAGGCTGTATTTACGGGGCTCTGTCACCGACACCCAGCCATTGCGTGGTAGGCTGTATTGACTGGAGCTCTGCCACCAACACCCAGCTATTGTGTGGTAGGCTGTATTTACCAGAGCTCTGTCACCGACACCGAGCAATTGGGTGGTAGGCTGTATTAACCGGCGCTCTGTCACCGACACCCACCTATTGGGTGGGAGGCTGTATTTACCGGAGCTCTTTCACCGTCACCCAGCTATTGTGTGGTGGGCTGTATTGACCGGAGTTCTATCACCGACACGCAGCTATTGAGTGGTAGGCTGTGTTTACCGGAGCTCTGTCACCGTCCCCCAGCTATTGGGTGGTAGGTTGTATTTACCGGAGCTCTGTCCCCGTCACCCAGCTATTGGGAGGTAGGCTGTATTGACCAAAGCTCTGTCACCGTCACCCAGCAATTGGTAGGTAGGCTGTAGTGACCAGAGCTCTGTCACCGACACCCACCTATTGGGTGGGAGGCTGTATTGACTGGAGCTCTGTCACCGACACTCAGCTATTGGGTGGTAGGCTGGATTGACCGGCGCTCTGTCACCGTCACCCGGCTATTGGGGGGTAGGCTGTATTGACGGGAGCTCTGTCACCGACACTCAGCTATTGGGTGGTAGGCTGGATTGACCGGCGCTCTGTCACCGTCACCCGGCTATTGGGGGGTAGGCTGTATTTACCGGAGTTCTATCACCGACGCCGAGCTATTGGGTGGTAGGCTGTATTGCCCGGAGCTCTGTCTCCGACACCCAGCTATTGGGTTGTAGGCTGTATTTACCAGAGCTCTGTCACCGACACCCAGCTATTGGGTGGTAGGCTGTATTTACGGAGCTCTGTCACCGACACCCAGCAATTGGTAGGTAGGCTGTATTGACCAGAGCTCTGTCACCGTCACCCAGCTATTGGGTGGTAGGCTGTATTTACCGGGACATCTTGTCACCGACACCCAGCTATTGGGTGGTAGGCTGTATTGACTGGAGCTCTGTCACCGACACCCAGCTGTTGGGTGGTAGGCTGTATTAACAGGAGCTCTTGTCACCGACACCCAGCTATTGGGTGGTAGGCTGTATTTACCGGAGCTTTGTCAATGGCACCCAGCAATTGGCTGGTAGGCTGTATTGACCGGAGCTCTGTCACCGACACTCAGCTATTGGGTGGTAGGCTGTATTTACCGGAGCTCTGTCACCGACACCCAGCTGATGGGTGGTAGGCTGTATTGACCAGAGCTCTGTCACCGACACCCAGCTATTGGGTGGTAGGCTGTATTGACTGGAGCTCTATCACTGACACCCAGCTATTGGGTGGTAGGCTGTATTGACTGGAGCTCTATCACTGACACCCAGCTATTGGGTGGTAGGCTGTATTGACCGGAGCTCTATCACCGGCACCCAGCTGTTGGGTGGTAGGCTGTATTGACCGGAGCTCTATCACCGACACCCAGCTGTTGTGTGGTGAAGAGGCTCAACAACTGATTTTTTTTCCTTGCCAGAGATTTCATCAGGAAACATGGTTAAGCAGAAGAAAATCCATACAATATAACGAGTATAGGGTGTGTAGTGCGATACTGCGGCAATTCCTTTACTGTCTGTTGTAGCTCATATTGCTGTCATGGAAGCATTGTATTTACCACCTCAAGATTTTAACAAAAGTGGAAAAAATAATAACTTGTGAAATAGTTTTGTCAAAAATGAAAAATGAAAGTTTGCAAAATCATTGTGACAACCGTTCAAAGGTTACATCTGGTATGATTACAACATGGAAAGATTCACCCATACAATAAAAAAATACCAATCAAAAAAATAAATATTTTTGAAATTTCCTTTCCATAAAACTGCCAAATTGCTCAATGTTTTGACAATATTTTTTACTGGTCACCAGTGATACATCATTGGCACGCATTTCAAGTGACATCAAAAAACCTTTCTAAACATTCCATGTAAACAGCGTGATGAAACATCTTCAACAAACACAGACGTTGGTCTGAGACTGATTGTAGTTCTCATAGCACTGTCATAACGGGATCCTGGTGAAAGATGTCGTGTCCTATTACACAGCAGGTAATCAGGGATTAGCAGCCTTTACGACAGTGGTGGTATAGTCATTGATTGATCTATGTGGGCGACCACGTTTGTCTGTCATACAAATCATAGTTGACCAGAGGTTTGTTTTCTGCCGGGTTCACAAGATTTTACGTGTGTGACAATTGATAATGTAAAAGTGGTAATTTTAGTGTGAAAATAATCACGTTGAGTGAATTAGCTTTAAAATATCTTTGAGCGAAAGCCGGCTTGCACTTATAAATTGTTTAGATTATATGGTAAATGCAGATGTGAAAATTTCTACACTGCGATCAGTTTGAAGAATCAAACCGCAAACAATTCACCTTGCAAGAATTTCCTCTTTAACAGTACTTATATTGTCACATGTAGGTTTGTGATCTACTTAGCCCCTTAGTGATAGATGATAGCTCTTCATTATGTTATTGTCTGTAGTATGATGTCGCTGCGGCTGGGCAGTGTGGTATACCCGGCCCTTGTATGGTCAAATATGATGACACTGGGCAGTGTGGTATACCCTTGTATGGTCAAATATGTGGATTTTTTTGTAGGTATGTGCTTACGCTAAAAAACTGACCTTGGTGTATATATACATTATACATGTATGGTCAAACATGAAGGGTTTTGATTGGTGAGTTCTGTTGACTGACCATTTAAGGATCCCGTACCACTGCCAAAAACTGTAACTTGATGTTGGAAACTGTTTTTTCTAGCATAACTTTTACTCGTTTCTAAAAAATATCATACACCTTGTGGGACTTTTGTGAGAAATAATGAAGTTGAAATAAACAAAATATAATCGGCAACAGTGTTCTGAATGTAAGAACTCAGCTTGGCTAGACAGGGATTCGAACCCCGGAGTTCAGATTGATATACTATCTCTCTGACTGACTGAGCTACGTGATCAACAAAAGTATCCTGACCCACAGTTGGGGTTGGAAAGGGATCCTTAATATTATACTTCTGTATGGTCCAATCTGAAGGCTTTCAATTAAATCAGTGAGGTTTGTGGA